AACCTTGCAGCAGAAGCTCGTGGGAACTGTCCAAGGTGCTGAACCGATGCCACGCCCAGTTTTAAGTACTCCCTTTTTTTTTTTTTTTTTCTTTCTTTCTTTTTTTTTGCAGTACGCGGGCCTCTCACCGCTGTGGCCTCTCCCATTGCGGAGCACAAGCTCTGGACGCGCAGGCTCAGCGGCCATGGCTCACGGGCCCAGCCGCTCCGCGGCATGTGGGATCTTCCCAGACCGGGGCACGGCAGGCGGACTCTCAACAACTGCGCCACCAGGGAAGCCCAAGTACTCCCATTTTAATGATTGGCTCCCGCACCACTGTTTCTGTTGGACAGAGAATTTCATTCCCATCTTATAGATGAGAAATGGAAGTCCCAAGAGTTAGAAGAACCAGAGCTAGGAACTTGGTTTCTTGCCTTTCAGCCCAGGGCTCTTTTCTCGCACTCAGTAGCCCCAATGTTGTCCAGCATTGCATACCTGAAGTGATTCCATTGCTGCTGCCAAGCTAACATGTAAAATACCCAGACTCTCTTCCCATTTCCATCCCTATGTTCATTTCCCTAAACACTGACAGGTATGTCCACCCCACAGTGCATCCTAACACTGACCACTGAGGGTGATCCACAGGTGCTTGGGTGGATCCGCCTGGAACAGCAGCTGTGCACGTTTATGGCTTTATTGCATCGGGAATCCCCGGGCGTAACTCATCCTGGCACTCTCCTTGGAAGGGAGTGCTGGGCTTGAGGGAAGCAATGTTCTCCCACACTGTCACATTTCACCAGCAATTACTGCCATTTTACTGGGTATCTAGTGTTCCAGGCCCTGAGCCATGAACTTTCCCATTTGAAGTTTCTCACTCTCATGGCTAAGTCTCCTCTTAACAGATGAGGAAATTCAGACTTAGGCAGGATAAGTGACTTTTCAGTAGGGACAGTGGGGATTGGAAGGCCACGAACTGAACCCAGATTTGTGTGGTTCCATGATGACCCATCAGTCAAAGTCTATCATCTAATAGATGAGAGCTGTGGTGGCTCCCACCACTACTGGCTTTGTGATCATGGGCAAGTCACTTATCCTGTTTGAACTTCAAGCCCCTCATTCTCAGGCTGAGGCAAGTGAAAGTGCACATCTGTAGGGCTGCTGTGAGGAACAGAGATGAAGCATGTGGCAAGGACTCAGTAAGTGTTTGCTGCTAATGTGAATATGACTATTATTGGGCACAAGCTCTTAGAAGGCTGGATGGGCATCTGATTAGCCTTTCCATACCCCCAGCAGCTCCCCAAGTTCTTGGCAGAGAAAATATCCAGTGTCCTGGGAGGGAAGGAGAAAGAGTG